GTTTCATGTGAGAGCATGTGACCACAGATGTGAAGCAGTGGGTATTCCACTGGGAACTAATTAGCCTCTTGTAATCGCATTAATTTCTGAATGCAATCCTTTTATAGTTAAGCCTCCAGAATATGTTCACATTAGATATTAATAAATATTTTAATTAACAAGAATATATTCAATACATTGAGGAAGATGTAGATGATTTCTTTGTAACATATTTAATATGCATCCGTACTTTGTATTTTGTGTTTCGATACAAATATCAAATTGAATTTAGCAAAAATGCTGTAAATATGTGCAAATATTCGACTTTTCATATTAGAATATGGCCTAAAATTTATAGTCAAGGTTTATGATAGTTCTATATAATGTGACATTCCAATATAGACACATCATTTCTGCCTCTCTATGTTTCTCTCTCGGTGTATTAGGTGGTGATCATGAGGGACTACCATCATGAGAATGTGGTCGACATGTACAACAGCTACCTGGTGGGGGACGAGCTGTGGGTTGTAATGGAGTTTCTTGAGGGCGGGGCACTCACTGACATTGTGACTCACACCAGGTAGATTCAAGATTTTTATTTGAGATTTATGCATAAACAGACAGTCTAGGCATATAGGAATTCTTGTGCAGCTTTCCTTTGGAGTCAGGTAAGGAGTCAAAAGCCAGAAAGAACATTTAGTCTTAAAATAAAAAGTTACATAAAGGCAACAAAGTATTAAAGCACAATACACAAAAATAGGTTAATAGCATTTCCAACAGTGAACTACGAACATCACACTTAGTAATTCACATGGTGGAGTTGGATATGTCATTACGCTTGGTGAGGTAGTGAGGGGTTATTACATATATATTCTCACATTTCTCACATTTTTTTTATTTGATTTGATTTTGATTTGATTTTGATTTATTCTTTCAAGCATGTAAAGACAGTTGATATGTCAACACACATAATTTTACACATATCCAACAAATGCTAATCCAATATCAATTTGCTTATACCTAGTACATGCTTGAATGGAGTAGGAAGAAGTCAGACTTATCCAGTCCTACCCCATGACATCATCTTACCATCATTGGTTTACAAGCAGTATCTCTACATAAATAATTCTCTTCTACACCACACAAGTAATATACTAAAAAAATTATAACAGAGTGTTAACATTCTTACATAATTACATTCTTAAATAATTATCTTCTACACCACACAAGTAACATACTAAAGAATTAATACAAGGTGTTAACATTCATACACCACACCCACAATGTTCCATCTAATCAATCATTAAGCCTGTTCTTGAATATATCTTGATTGACACATACCTTTATATTTATGTTTAAACTCATCAATTCTATTACTATTTTTTATGTCCACACTTAAATTACTCCATAGATTTACCCCACTTATGGAAATACAAAATCTTTTTTTGGTTGTACATATAACATGAATTTTTAAATTTAACTGACCCCTTAAATTATATCCCCCTTCCCTTTCATTAAATAGTTTTTGAATTCCACCAGGTAATAAATTGTTCCTGGCTTTATACAAAAACACAGCAGTCTTATATCCCACTAAATCAAAAAATTTTAACAATTCAGACTGTATGAAAGCTACATTGGTGTGATCCCTATACCCCATCTTATGCACAATTCTTATCGCTCTTTTTTGTAATATACACAGTGGTTGAAGTGAGCTTTTGTATGTATTTCCACAGTTTTCAACGCCATACTCTAAGTATGGTAAAATCAATGAAGAATACAAAATCCGTAGTGCTTTCCCGTCCAAAATATATCTAACCCTTGCCAATATCAATATATT